TGACGTCAGCGCGCCGCGTGCGTCGGGAGGGAGGGGCGAGCGGGGGGGCGTGGCCCGCGGAAGGACGTTGGCGGTTCGTGGACTCGGTTCTGGCCGGGAAGTTCGAACCGAGGTCTGCAGAGCTTCGTGTCTGGAGCGGGCGGCGGGGTGCGGCAGTTTGGGCTCAGGGTCGCCGTGCCATCGGCTCCGGTTTGGAAGTGGGGGTAGGTTCATCTTCCTCACGGTGAGGTTTAGCTGCTCAGGGACGACATAGAGTAATTCTGGAATCTCCTTCCTCCTGAAGTTCCCAAGCAGGGGATCTGTGGTTCCACATCAAGGCGGCTTCTGCATTTCTAGTTGGTAGAGGGAGCAGGGCACATGGCTCAGGGAGGAGGATGGAGGAACGCCCAATTTTCCCCCCCTGCACATTTACTGTAGTGGGTGTTGACAGCCAAGGAGGATTTTCTGTTTAGGTATTTGAAACCACTTTGAAAAAGTATACAGAAAGTCCGGGCGGTGGTGGCGCACGCCTTTAATCCCAGCACTGGGGAGGCAGAGGCAGAGGCAGGTGGATCTCTGTGAGTTCGAGGCCAGCCTGGTCTACAGAGCAAGATCCAGGGCAGGCACGAAAACAACACAGAGAAACCCTGTATCAAACAACAACAACAACAACGTATAGGAAAAGCATGAGAACAAGAACTTCTTATATGTAATTATGTAGGAATAGGACTGAGCCAAATTTATGCTAAAGATGGGAAAAACGAGTCTGTTATTTTATCGTTGTGTGTGCGTACACACTGCAGACATGCACATGTGTTTGCCGCTGTGGACTTCGGGTGTGGCGAGGGCGATTCCTGGAAAGAAGTCGGAACTTAAATTGAAGTTTCTGCAAGAGTGATTAGCTGATTAGAACTTGAGTGATTGGGGAGACATTATAATGTTGGAAGCCCAGAGCCAAATTATAATTTATCTTGAGCAGCCTTTAGCCCTTTTAATTAATAGCCTTTCCTAGCCCACCTGTGTGCCTGAATAGCCAGCATCCTGGTGAATATCAGATGAAACCATTGGAATGTATTAACTTAGCAAGGCACTAGCTTCTCCCAGCCCAGAAGCTAAGAATTTTATCAGGTCACATCTGGGGTCTGTAGCAGAGATCTTCCACCTGATGTGTCCACCAATGTATTTGAAATGTCTTAATTTATAGAAGATTTTCTGTCTTGGTATTGTAAAACGTCAGCACGCTCATATTCAGTTCTCCTTGGAGGTGAGAGCAGCTTCTGGTGTCAACAGTACATTCCCCCCTCCATCTTGTTAGTGTTTTTATTTATTGACTTACTGTTTGGCGGCATCTCATGGAAGCTGGAGCTCTTGGAGTAGGCTACCCTGGGCTAGCCAGGGAGCCCTGAGGATCTGCCTGTATGCCTTCCCAGCTCTGGGACCGCACACATGGGCTGTGGGGTTCTCTGCATTTTGTGGATGATGGAGATCTAACTCAGGTCCTCATGCTTTGAGGAAAGAAGTGGGGCACCATGCCAACTAAGTCACCTCCCAGCCCTTTCTACCCTTTACAAGTTCTTGTGTTTGTAGTCGGAACACGTTAGCAACTAATAAAACAGGAGTGCCTTAGTGAATTTCACTAGCCACCATTTTCTTAGTGGCTTCAGGGAGGTATAGTTTGCCAGTCTACTTTGATAGAAACTATTGGACTCCATCGGACATGATAAATGAAACTGAGGTGTTCTCAATGAGAATGACCCTCATAGATTCATATTTGAACACATAGTCCCTATTTGGTGGAACTGTTTGGGAAGGATCGTGACATGTGGACTTGGAGGAGGTGTGTCACTGGGGGTGGGGTGAGGTTTCTGAAGCCCACAACATTCTCTGTTTGTTCTCTGCTCCTTGCTTATGGATCATGATATAAGTTCTCTGCTACAACACTAGTGTAGATGAATTTCTAAACAGTCTTGTTAAATAAGAAACACAGAGCCAAATACAGACGTGAAAGCCATAGAAATCAGAGTGATAGCCACCAACTAACCTTAGCTCACCACCTCACCATAGCTTCCCAAGAGAGCCTCTTCCTGTCTAACCTGCGCCTTTATTGCCTTGCTGTTCTGCCTTCTCATTGGCTCTTAGCCCAGCCACATCACTTCCTCATCACTGCCTGTCTATACAGACCTCCAGGTCTCTATGGTTGGTACTGGGATTAAAGGTATGTGTCACTATACTTGGCTGTGTCCTTGAACACACAGAGACTCTGCCTGCCATGTGATTGGATTAAGGTCCTGTGCCACCACCGTGTGACTTCTGTTTATGGCTGGCTATGACATCTCATCTCCAGGCAAACTTTCTTAACATACAAATGAAATATCACCATATTTCAGCACAAATAAAATATCACCACACACTAGCACCATGCCTGCCTGCTGCCATGCTCCCTGCCATGATGGTCATGGACTCTAACCCTCTGGAACCACGAGCTCCAAATTAAATACTTCCTTTTATAAGTTGCCTTGGTCATTTTTTTTTTCTCTAAATCACGGCAATAGAAAAGTAACAAAGATAGAAACCAAGACAAAAATTATCCAATTCCTATTACAAAGTAGATCGATTGCTTTCTAAAAATAGCTAGTTAAGAAGAAATAGAGGTTAATTGTACAATAATGGTGTGATCCCACCAAGGAAGCCAGTCTTCACTGTAGTTCTGCAAATCCCATGTTGCTCTCCCTAGGCAGAGGACTGTTAAGATGCACTCTGCAAGTTCACGGACAGACGGACAGACGTGCCTTGCTGACGGAGCTTTTGATTCTTACGGTTTGGTTTTCCAGGTTGACCGACGAATGAAATTGTCACGTGTCGAAGGGACGAAGACTCTTAGCTCTAAGATAATTGAGACCTTTGGGAGATAGAAAAGAAGAGCCGGCGAGCACAGACACGAGCTGAAGTGGGCAGCACGCGAGCCGCCTGGTCACGCACATTTGTGCAGCCTCACCTGCAGCAGACGCCTCCTGGGAAGGCAGCCGCTCTCCCTCCCTCCGTCGCTAGAGGTATGGGTGTTGCTTATGTGCTGTGTCACAGACTTAAAGCTCCCGCCTGTGTGTCTCCCTGTTACTACTGTGGTGGCTTCTCTCATTTCCTCCGTCTTCTTCCACAAAATAGGGATGCTACCCTCTGACTTTTCCTACAACCATCCATCTAAGTGGACTCTACCTTCTTGCCTCTCAGAGCTCTCTCAGAACTAGACTTTTAGTCCCAATAAGAGGTCTTGGAAGGACAAAGTTGCTATACCCAGTTGAGTGAGTTTTCCCTTTTCCCAACTACTTGTGGACATTTCATTGTTTGTGGTGTGCAAACTGCTACAGCCCGTGTCTGGCCACTTCTCAGTTCTCAAAAGGTTTACTAGTGAGTCCCCAGAATGTTTTTTTCTGCCACTCAATATAATAGAAGAAAGTTTAAACTTTTAGAAGGAGTCTGAGAAAGACTTGTAAGGCCACCAGTGGGAACATGAACCCAGATACCAACAGAAGCTGTGTGTCGTTCTTAGTAGGAAAACTGGCCATTTCTAACACAGCAGTAAGTGGTAACGACTGGGAGGACTGAAGGGATGTGCCACAGTTGAAAGAGGAAGTCACTCTTTGTTGTGAGGCAGCTAAGAGATGAAGGCAGTGGTCTGCTGACATTTCAAGTCCTTATCTGGAGAATTCAGAAACACAGATGATTATCATTTGCTAACCTACAAACATTAATATTTAATCAGACTTATTTTGTGTCAAATTAAATGTATGCACAGGCAAGATTTGGCCGGTAGGCTACAAATATTCAACCTCTCTGCTAAATGAATATGTAAGACCAGGGGATGGAAAAAGAGACAAGGTCTTTAAATGTAGCTTCCTCTAAGAGACAGAGAAGGAAAACTTGCAGAAGGTAAAGATTTCAAGTTCTTCCATGGGATTTAAATTGAATCCCAGTTGATATTCTACCAAATACTTAATTATTTTCAATTATTCTTTGTTTTGAATTGGTAGTGGCGACAGTGGCGGTATGTGTATGTGTTAATAGGGAGTGGATGTGTGTATACTAACAAGCCTCCATGCTGAAACTAGACCCTGAGAAGACCAGAAATTAAATGAGATATGCCACTCTAACATATAATTTTGCCCCAAACACTCTAGATGAAATAAAGATACAGAATGAGTCCATTTAGAGATTTAAAGCTTATTTCAGGAAGTTTTGCTAGCTAAAATGACACATTTTACACTTTGCTTTCCTATAGTATGACTTGAACATACACTTTTCTAAATTATAAATCATGCATATCAAGATTATATAGATGAGTACTCATCGAAACCTCCTGCATGCAATGGTTAACTAACAGTATTTGTATACATTATCTATTACTCACTGTCAAAATGTAAGAAAAATATAATCAATTCAAAACAAGTTAATTGTCAACAAAATATTATCATCAGGTGAAATCCAACAATTTGTAAAGAGAGTTATGCATCATAACCAATTGGACTTCTAGCTGGGTATGATGGTATACACCTATAGTTCCAGTGCCCAGGAGGCTGAAGCAGGAGGATTATGAGTTTGAGACCAGCCTTGCTAAATAGTAAGCCCCTGTCTCAAGAAGATACAACAAAGAGATTGCTTCCTCAATTCCTGAGATTCAGTCCAGGAATTTAAGATTGGTTTCACATCTGAAAATCAATATTCTCTGCCATATGAATATCATAAAACTAAAAATACCATAGACATCTTAATAGATACACACAAAATTATTGGCAAAATATAGCATACTTTCATGATGTAAACCATTCAGCAAACTAGGAATAGAAGAGAATTTCTTCAACGTAATAAAAGTCCTTATGAAATACCTACAACTAATGTAATACTTAATGGTTAAAAGATTGAATATTTTCACTCTAAGAATAGAACAAGATGAAATGCCTACTCTTGAAGCTTCTAATCAGTATCATGTTAGAAGTTTAACCAGAGCAATTAAACAAAGAAAAAGGCATCCAGATTGAAGACATAAATCTGTGCAGATGCCTTGATACTGTATATGGAAAAATCCTAAGGAACCCACTGAAAGTAATAAATGAGTTGAGCAATGTTACAAAATCAATATTTAACAATCAAGTGTTTTTCAGTTCATTGGTAATGGAAAATCCAAAAATAAAGTAATAAAAATTTCATTTACTCTAGTAAAAATACATTTATGAGTACATTTAATGAAAGAAATATAGAATGTGCATACTAAAAGCCATAAAGCTGTTTAAAAATTAAAGAAAACATAAATAAATAGAAATAAATCCAGTGTCTGTGGATCAGAAGATGTTATATTGTTAAATCTGCTACTTCTTTCAAAATCGATCTGTTAATTCAGTGCTACCCACATTAAAATCCCATCTGCCTTATTTTGCTGGTCCTGAGATGCACATTAAAGGCCAGGGATTCAAAATATACATCCTTCTTGGGGAAGACAAAAAAAGTTGCAAGACTCACAATTTTCCATTTCAAAACAGTAATGCTGTGTTCGCCAAAGTGGTTTCTACAGTCATAATGGTGAGGGTTAGGGTAGCACATCTTCTCGGGAGCCTGGTGACTCCTCATAGCCCAAGTTCCCATGAGGCTGAGATGCCTGCTGTGAAGACCCAGGATGGCAGGATGCAGTTCCTGCTGGAGTCCAGCCCTGCCTAGTCTGACAAAAGGATGCTGGCCAGAGTTAGAGGCCAGCCCACCCTCTTAGGACTCCAGTCTCAAAAAACTACAGCAAAAGAGTGACAGACAGGTTTTTGGAGAGGGAGCTTTGGTTTGTGCTTTCCGCTACCTGTGCCCTTGACTGAGGGAACAAGCAATGGTGTTGGATCTAGAAGTTTCTAGAAGCCACCAAGCTTTCTGGACTAATGCTCACCGTAGGAAAGTGTAAGTTACTGAGCCCAGATAGCCAACATTTTTTAAATAATATGAAATGAAAAAGAGTCAAAAAGAAAAGTAGACTAATTGAATTTTAGCTAAATAAAACAACTTATTTCAAAGGGTATTAGTTAAATGTGAAAAAGACAATCCCCAGAATAATCGAAAATATAGTGTTGGGAAATAACATACTTAATAATAAATATATCAAAAATGCATTAGAAATTTCTGGCACTCAATAATGAAGATAAAGCAGTTTTAAAAATAAGCAAAAGTTCTACATAGACATCTTAGAGAAGACGGACCAATGGACGGGAGTCATGTTAACAGGTGGCTCAACAACACTAGTCATCAGGGAAATGTAAATCCAGACCGTCACAAGTTTCACTTCCCATGTACTGGTAGGGCTACAGTTTATAAACAACATCTACTAACAAGTGTTGACAGTGCAGGGGGAAAATTAGGAGGCTCCTGCATTGCTACTAAGAATGATGCAACTGCTTTTGATGAACATTCGGTAGTTTTTCAAAATAGTAAACAGCTTTTCCATGTGTAGTAATGACAGGACATCAGACAGAGGCAGCTCACGGACAGAAAGATGGATTGTGGCTCACAGTTTGAGGAATACGGTTCCTCCAGGCCTAGAAGCAGGAGTATGATCCAGCTGGTTACACTACATCCACAGTCAAGAAGAAATGCACAGGAGGAGGGGCCAGCCTGTAAAACCCCAGGGCCCCCCAGGAATAACCCACTTCTTCCACCCAGGCTCCATCCACCTCCTAAAGCTTCCACAAACTTTCAAAACAGCTCTACCAGTCAGGAACCCAGTGTTCCAACACAGGAACAAATGTAGATGTTCCATGATCAAACAGAAGCATTGTAGCCCTGGTCCCCCTGTGGTGTTCAGCTCTCCAATAATATAGAATGCATTCATTACAACTTCAAAAGTCTGCATTGTGAACAAGCTCAGCTCTGTCCAAAAGACCAGAGTCTCGTCTGAGACTCAAGGCAATCTCAGTGCTCCCTATTTTAAAGGCGACACACCCCAATATACATTGGCACAACATAAACATCCTCATTCCGAGAGGGAACAACGGAGGCATAGCAAAGAAATACCAGATCAAAGCAAGTCTGGTACCTAGCGGGCAAGTGCCACACTCTTCAGTTCCATTTCTGACATCTGCGGCTTGTAATGGAATCATCTGGGCCCCCGCGAGCAGCCTTGTGAAATCCCGCCCTCCAGCTCTGCCGCCCACAGTATACGTAAGCTCTCTTAGTCTAGCTCCATACTGTACATGCAGTTTTCCTCAACAGACATTCATGTTCCTAGTGTTGCAAATATCCTGGGGTCTACAGCCTGCGTAGGCTTCATCTTCCTGACTTTATGCAGTGTGCTCTTAGGGTCTCCTTGCAGGGAATCCACCCCTGACACATACTGCATGCCCTCGCTGGCTTTCTGGAACCTTTGTGCAGGCCCTTTACCCTCTCATTCTTTATCATTCTTGTCTGCAAAACATGGCCAACACTGCTGGGTTCTGCCAGCTGGAAATGTTGCCTGACTCCCTTGAGCCACAGCTCCATCAGCCTCTCTGTGCCTTCTAGGATGACCTGGGAAAACATGTCTCTGGGGAGTTATTGTCGAGCAAGGAACCCCTTCAGCAGCGTCCTCAGTGTAGTGTCTCCTTTCAAAGGCGCTTGTGTTTTTCTAAATTGGAGCCTTAGATAGGTGGGGCCGACTGGAGAGACCCACAGAGGTTTCCTAGTGAGACCTTACTCAGGGTCTGAGAATCTGAGTTTGCTTTACCCAGCAGGGCTGCATAAGGGGCTGATTTGACCAGGTGTTTGGAAGGCTCTGCACTTGCCTGTGCAGTATGCTTTGATCTAGCAAGGGGGAGGTCTTTTGCCCTGGCCCTTGGCATTGTTATAAAAAGCCCTTTTGAAGAGACAGAAGGGGCCAGTGGATTTTGATCCAGATCCTCCCGAATTCTGTCTGTCTCCTCTTTGCTATCTTTCTAAAAGTTTCTTCTCTCCTCAATGGAACCCTTTAAAGGGTGGGAGCTGGCACCACAGATGTTACCCTGAACAGGGACTTGGATTCCAGGACCCCCACAGCATCTTTCCCACTGTC